TAAGAAAAGAGCTTTTATTAAATATAAACATGAAGGAACACTATCATCGTTTAAACATTACAAAGACTATAACAGAATATGCAAAAAGGAAATAAAGGCCACAAAAATTGAAAACGAACGACAGATTACAAAAGATAGCAGGACAAACGCAAAAAAATTCTTCAAATATATTAATAGTGGGTAACTGGGGAGAAAGAGAAGGCAAATTTATTAAATACCTTCTTCAGCTCTGTATACAGTATACAAAGGAGCATGGGGGAGCTTTTGTCCATAATGGGCACGGTATTGACACAGCTCCAGATGATCCACAATGGCTCACAATTGATATGATCCAAAAATATTCAGACATAATAAAGGTGAATAAATCACCTGGACCAGATGGCATACACCCACGGGTCCTTAAAGAATTGAGCTCTGTCATTTAAAAGCCATTGCTTCTAATTTTTAGGGACTCTTTAATGACTGGCATAATACCACTGGATTCGCTGAAGGCCAATGTGGTGCCAATATTTAAAAAGGGGTCAAAATCTTTACCAAGTAATCATAGACCTGTTAGTTTAACTTCTATAGTTGGGAAGATACTGGAGAGTTTAATAAAAGACCACATAGATGAGTTCTTGCTGGAAAAAAAAATACTTTAAGCAACAGACAGCATAGATTGATGAAAGACAGAAGTTGTCAAACAAATCTGATTTCCTTTTATGAAGTGAGCAAAACCTTGTACAAAGGGGTGGCGATGGACGTGGTATACTTGGATTTTGCAAAAGTGTTTGACACAGTTCCCCACACACAGCTAATGTGTACGGTAAAGTCTACAGGCTTGGAAAAATCTGTATGTAAATGGATAGAAAACTGGCTAAAAGATCGTATTCAGAGAGTAGTGGTTAATGATTCATACTCTGAATGGTCTAGGGTTGTCAGTGGTGTACCCCAAGGTTCAGTGTTGGGACACTTACTTTTTAATATATTTATAAATGATATAGGGTCTGGGATTATAAATACCATTTCAGACTTTGCAGATGACACCAAGCTGTGCAGTGGAATAACATCCTTACAGGATGTCTCCAACTTACAAGCCGACCTCAATGCACTGTTTAATTGGGCAACTATGTGGCAAATGATTTTAAAGTTGATAAATGTAAGGTTATGCACTTGGGGGCTACGAATATGCATGCATCATACATACTGGGGGGGGGGCTACAACTGGGGGAATCAATGGTGGAGAATGGTGGGAGTTCTGGTAGATCACTAGCTTAATAATGGCATGCAAAGCCAAGCTGTGGCTTCTAAAGCAAGCAAAATCCTCTCTTGTATTAAAGAGGTATAGACTCCAGAGAGAGAGATACCATTTTACCCCTGTACAAATCTTTAGTAAGACCTCATCTTCAATATGCAGTTCAATTTTGGGCACCAATTCGCAAAAAGAACATTGGGGAACTGGAGAAAGTACAGAGAAGGACAACTAAACTGATAAAAGGAATGGAGGAGCTCAGCTATAAGGAAATATTAGAGGAACTGAATTTATTCTCTCTTGAAAAGAGGAAATTAAGGGAGGATATGATCAACATGTATAAATACATCAGTGGTTCATATAGTGAACTCAGGGTAGAGTTATTCACTCTGAGGTCATCACAGAGGACAAGAGGACATTCTTTATGTCTGGAGGAAAATAAATTTAATGTCCAAACATGGAAAGGTTTCTTCACAGTAAGAGCTGTGAAAATGTGGAATAGGCTCCCTCAAGAGTTGGTTCTGGCCAGTTCAGAGGATTGCTTTAAAAAAGGCCTGGATTCTTTCTTGGATACACAGAATATAACTGGATACTCTCATTTATAGGTAAAGTTGATCCAGCGAATTATCCAATTGCCTCTCGGGCGATCGGGAAGGAATTGTTTCCCCTGCAGGAGAAAATTACATCATGCTTTGCTGGTTTTTTTTTGCCTTCCTCTGGATCAACCGTGGGTGTAGGATTATAACTTGTTTTTTTTTAATGGTTAAACCGAATGGACTATTGTCTTTTTTCAGCCAGACTAACTATGTAACTGTGTAACTATGTTCAGGCTCTGCCACATTTAAGGGTTGTCCTTGGTCACATGCCCGGCCTCCTACCTGGGGTATGGTTAAGTTTCTTTAAACATGCAAATCTAGACTTTCTCTCCCCCACCACCCCTCCAGAAAGTTCTCAGAATATCTGGAATTGTGGGAAGGCTCTATAAGCCCTGACCTGTAGAGCCTCCCAGCCTCTCCTGAGGTGAAGTTACTACTAGGCTGAATCATCCCAGACTGCTACCCAGCCTCTATCTAAGAAAACAAAACAAAGCCTATCCAGCTAAACTGGAGGGCGTTACAACTGCATTGCAAAAAGGTGAACAAAAGGGTTCACACATCACCAGATAGAAAGGGCTGGTGTAATTTGGTACACCATGGTTATGCCGCGATGTAAAACTTAAGGCATGAATAGATTGATTGTACTTTTTACATGTATTCTAAGACTTAATTTTCAGTTTTGTTTGGACTGCTCCTTTAACACAGGGTCAGTTAGCGAAAAATAAAAATACGCTTTTATTTCACGCCTATAATTTTTGCAGTTAAAAAGGAGAAATTCTGTTGTACAGCACAATAGCCTTAACAGCTACATTTCTACTGTGGCTGCATACAAAGATACCTCTGGGTGCAATATTCTCTCTTGAATATACAATTAAGTTCAGGAAAGGCATCTTTGATCTAGGCAGGAAAATATTCATTAGCAGCTGACTCAGCTCATGAATATTTTTCAAGGTTGACACAAAAAACATATGAATAAGTTTACCAAAGTTATGTGAAGTATTTTTTTTTTTTCCTGATAGTGATGCAGGTTCTGTGACAGAAGTACATATTTAAACACAACCATGTACCTTTAAAAATATTAAAAATAGAGATTCCAATAATTTTAACGTTGAATGTCTGTCAGATGGAAAAACATTATATATATATATATATATATATATATATATATATACATTTGTAAACCATTAAACCATTACATATATTTTTACAAAGAACCATCATTTTACATGGAAATCTGATTTTGTATCAGTCTCTCTGCAATCCCTTTTATAGCAGCACTTGATCCAGTCAGAGCTCAAATACTTTGCAGAGCCCTGTCTCTGAACCTACTTACAGTAGTGGAGAGCAGGAGGATGGTCTCATTAATGAACTGCAGCTCCTTCATTGCTCAATGCCAATCTGGGTTGAATTGTGGATCCAACGGTAAACCTGTGCCTAGTATATACACGCTAAACTGCATAATCAAAACAAGTGGTAAAATAACTCTAAAACCCACTCAGTCTGTAGATTGAGTCTTTGTTGAACAATTAATCTTCAAAATGTATGACCAAGACACTGAAACCTCAGTTTATTTCTATGGATAACAGAATATTGGTAGCCAACCAACCTCTGTCAACAAGTAAGTAAAGTTCATGAATTTTTAATTAGCTATGCCAAAGTGGCTGAAATTTAGACCTCTTGCTGATGCTCATTGTTATAAAATCTGCTTGCTAACTGGCTAAACCAGAATGTGTTTTGGTTACTTCTAGCTGCAATGCTTGTGAAAGACATGCATTTTCCAATGACAAAATAGGAGGTCAGTGCCATAGGAAGCAAAGTTGAATTGAAGGACATTGATAGGAATCTGATTCCTGCAGCTATAGACACTAAGTAAACGTAGTAACATTTGTACTGAATCATTTCACAAAGCTCATACTGGCAATAGTATCTAATGACAGAAGGAAAATCCTAAAAGTGAACATGCCATACCTGTATATGTCTTTAAAACTAGTTCCATTGTGCCTGGTGAGGACTCTAGATCATAAGCAATTATTGTACACAGATTGTCATTTTCAGTATAAAACTGAATTAAAGTGTATGAATATCCATACCTTTTTTCTAATTTATATAGTTTTTATAGTAGAGAAAGGTGATGGGCCAAACACTCCCCCCACCCCCCTGTTCAGTTTGCGGTCAAACATTTGAACCTACCGAAAGTTCGACCGTGATCTTTGAACAGTGACAATTTACTATGCGGTAAGATACCACTCAGCTAATAAAATTCTGCAAGAATTATATTAAATCATGTGGTATTTTAGTAGTGAAACAGGGGCGGACTGACAACTCATGAGGCCCCTGGGCAATAGGGGATCATGGGGCCCCTGTGTCCTTGCCCAAACTCAAAAAAGCCTATGAAAAAGGTACCAGGGGCATCTCATGGGGCCCCCTACTGACCCCGGGTCCTCGGGCAGTGCCCGAGTTTACAAATGGTCAGTCCGCCCCTGTAGTGAAACATTCTTTAACCACTTGCCTTCCAGAGGATTTACCCCCCTTCCTGACCAGGCCATTTTTTGCAATACGGCACTGAGTTACTTTTCCTGACAATTGCAAGGTCATGAAGCACTGTACATAAATTAAATTTATGTCCTTTTTTTCTCACAAATAGAGATATTTTGGTGATATTTGATCACCTCTGCGGTTTTTATTTTTTGCGCTATAAACAAAAAAAGTCTGACAATTTTAAATAACAAACAATATTTTTGACTGTTTACTATAAAACAAATCTAATAAAAAAATTTAAAAAATCCAATTTTTTCATAAATTTAGGTCAAAATGTATTCTGCTACATGTCTTTGCTAGAAAAATCCCAATATGTGTAAATTAACGTGGTATATATGAAATTTATAGCATCTACAAATAGCGGTATATATACTGGAATTTTGTTTTTATACTACTAATGGTGGCGATCAGCGACTTATAGCAGGACTGCGGGAATGTGTCAGGCATTCTGACACTGGGTGGGAACTGACTAACTGCCACTGACATCTTCAGTGACACTAATACAGTGATCAGTGCTAATAAAAAGCACTGACACTGTACTAATGACACTGGGTAGGAAGGGGTTAACATCTGGGGCATTCAAAGGGTTAACTGTATGCTGTGTGTGTTTTACATTATGTGCTGTGTGTGTGTTTTACCGTTCTCCTGGGAACCGCCAAACCCAGACATGTCCATCAGATTACCAGACAGAAAGGCATGATTCATCACTCCAGAGAACACATATCCACTGCTCTAGAGTCCAGTGGCAGTGTGCTTTACACCACTGCATCCAATGCTTCGCATTGCACCTGGTGATGTAAGGCTTGGATGCAGCTGCTCAGCCATGAAATCCCATTCCATGAAGCTCTATATGCACTGTTGTGCTAATCTGAATGCCACACGAAGTTTGGAGGTCTTTAGCTATTGACTCTGGAGACAGTTGGCGACTTCTGCCCACTGTGCGCTTCAGCATGTGCTGACCCCGCTCTGTCATTTTACAGGGCCTGTTTTTCCAAGTTGCTTCCACTTTATTATAATACCACTAACAGTTGACCATGAAATATTTAATAGCAAGGAAATTTCACGGATGAACTTATTGCACAGGTGACAACCTAACACGTTACCACACTTGAATTCACTGAGCTCCTGAGAGCGACCCATCCTTTCACAGATGTTTGTAGAAGCAGTCTGCATGCCTAGGTGCTTGATTTTATGCACTTGTGCTAATGGAGGAGGTGATTGGAACACCTGAATCCAATTATTTGGAGGGGTGTCCCAATACTTTTTTTGTGTATATATATATATATATATATATATATACTGTGTATACCATACTATATAAATATATCAGCCATCCTCATACAACCCTCCTGATCCCCCTTAGTGTTTCAGGGAGTGGAAATTACCCACCTTCTGCTGGGAAGGGGAAACCATCCAAACTTATACCCCCTGAATTTCTAAAGTCCCAGGGAACTCTACTACACAAGTTTTAATGAGAACTTTTTTAACTGACTTCTGGCCCACTACCTCCACTGCTGGTATGCTTGCTAGTTAGGCTGCCCATCACATTTAGCAGTCAACAAAGGTGCAGGAGCCAAAAAGAGTAAGGTAAGAGTTCAGCCATACAAGCCTAAGATTTTCATAATTAGACATCGTGGAATTAACATCTCCCAAGAGAAGAAAACTGAAGTACCATGCCTTCACTTTTGGCGGCTAATTAATGGATGTGACATCTAATGAAACTTAAGATAAGTAAGTTTGCAGTTCAAAAATTAAACTTAGGACGTGCAGTAGATGTATCCCATCTACTATCACATTTCTATTAGATGTTTGCTTACCAACATATCTTTTATTTCTATTCTTTTTAAGTGCATGTACTTTTAGGTACTTACAGTCATGGTCAATTGCTTCTCCATAATGGAAAGTAAACAAAATACTTGAAGAACAGAGCTTCAACAAAGTGAAACCTTCATTATTTTCTTTATAGAGGTATTTGAGACACAACTAAAGCTAAGTGCGTAGAAACAAAATATGTTCAATGTCTTAAAGTTTATTTTTTTAAAGCATCCACGACTCAAGTAAAAACAGCCTGCCCCCTGCCAGCAACTGCATACAGGTACCATTGCTCCCTATGGTGAAACAGTGGTCTTATTGCAAAGGCTCAACATGACTCTACTAAGTCACACCTACAAATAGGCTCTGACTCAGCAAAGGTCATGATAAATATCTGCAAAAGAGTTCACTGCTTCCCCATAGAAAGAATGTGTCCCACTCTACAGCATGCCGGCAGGGAACAGGCTTTTCTGCTCAGACTGTAGCTTATTTTTCAAGAAGAGAGAACCAGAAGAATGTACAGTATATACTATTTTATGCACCTGGAATCCATTGTAGTTAATTTAAACTGAAAATGTATTTGGGCTCAAACTGTAAAAATCTGTATACTCACCTGTCCCATTGCCCGATTCTCTGATCTTTACTCACTCGCAGAACTGTCTTCTTTGCATCTAAATGTGTAGGATGTCCCGCACTCTGTGGGACCTCTCTAACTACAGTCAATGGTGCAGGACTCAGACATCTGAAGTAAGCGTCAAATGTAAACTGTTTAAAGATGAAAATGAACGGTGTGAATCCAGTTTACTAGGTGTTTTCCTTTACTTTTCTTTATTTTATGTATGTATGTATGTATTTGTTTTCTTTAAAAAGTTATAAAATTGTATATAAATATCACACCCCCTTGACCCCTGGAGGAGTGGTGGTAACCCCAGAGACAAGGTGGGCTGACATTTCACCTCAGGGTCTAGATACTGGGATGAACAGAAGAGCACCAGTTTATTGACTCTCAATTATAATTCCTGAGAGAGAGGGGAAGGGAGATCAGAACACCAGTTACTGGTCTGCAGACTCAAAAGCACAAGAAACACCTGTACAGAAAATAGCCTTTAAGCCAGGGGTGACCAACCTTTTGACTTTCCTTGGCCACATTGGAAGAAGAGGAATTGTCAGGGCTCCAGGGTATGACCAGAGGTATGTGAACTGATGCAGGGAAATGCAGGCTTCAGATAAGTTATAAACAATATAATTTATTAAAGACTAACAATACAAACATAAACGCAGTGCAATACTAAAACATAACACAGTGCAAACGAACCAAACCAAACCACCCACAGATAATACATACAATGCAAGCATCGTCAGGCAGGCCGGGTCAATAACAATCGGGCAGGTAGGTACAGGGGGTCAGGCAGAGAATGGTCGGGGTCACAAGCCAGGGATAAAACAGGAGAAGTCAGCAGAGGTCCGGATCAGGCAGGGTCAGCAACGAATCAGACAGAGACAGGGACAGGGACAGGAACAGGAACAGATGCAGGGATGCAGGAACAAGATACAGGGCCCAGGAAAAACACACACCAAGGCAGAGACTGCAGGTCTGGCCATCCCTTAAATACACCTGCATAATCAACTTCAGGTGTTTGGCTGGCTGCAGGGTTGAGTCTCTGATTGCTGGGAGCACCCGCTGGCCAGCCCTGGTACTGCAGCCCACAAGGCAGGTGAGTCCCACCATTACTGGCAAGTCCATTCCTGACAGGAATTGTCTTGGGCCACACATTAAATTCTCTAACAATATGGATAGCTGATGAGCAGATAAAAGTAGGGCAAATCATAAATTAACAATCACTGATATAGATAATGTACCTGATGTACTCTGAGTAATAAAACTCCTTTTAAAAATATTTTTTTATTATAAGACTAACATAAAAGGGCAATGGCAACATAAAACTAGTGCACTATTTGACTCTATTTTTCATAAACTAACACATCAATATCAGGTTTGATGGAGGTAGTAGCATTTCTTAATGAATTCTCATATTCTCACATTTTGGTTCTACAGTTGCCCTTCATGTGCCTCATCCTTGAAAATAGTTTAAATGCATTTTTACAGGAAATAAAAAAAAAAGTTTTACGATTTTGTGTTGTGCGGCATGCACAGTCGTCTTGGGCCACACACGGCTCATGGGATGCCGGTTGAACACCCCTGATGTAAGTTGATCCCAGCAATATACCTTTTTAGTAGCAGCAATCTCAATTAGAGGTACCATTAACAACTACTGGCAAAAGGGAGAAACCACAGCTCCACTGAATTTAGGGGAAAACCAAATGAACAAATAGACACTAAGGGCCCAAGAACACCAGAAACTGAATGTTTGCTGTGCATTTTTGCATGTAAAGTGACATGCATTTGATGCACAATTTTTGCCCATTTGCATGCATTTGCTGTGCACTTTTTCCTAAGCTTGCACTTCCTTTGAGGTCCCTTCCACCTTCTTTCTTCTTTGGGTTTTTATCTGCACTGCACTGCATTGTAGTTCATTTGTGTGTATTTGCATGTTTCTATGCATTTGCAGTGTGAAAAAAGTGCAGCTCGCTGCACTTTTTTTTTACTGCACTGCGCTGCACCGCAATAGTGTCAACTATGCCCATAGAATAACTTTGGATTGTCAATGAAGTTGGAGTGCAGTCAAAGCATCCCACTGAATCTTGTGTGAATGGACCCTAAATCAGCTAGGTTGCTTACCATCCAGCAAAACTAAATTTGAGTAGTAGACCCTGTATAAGACAGGGTGGCTACATAAAGTTTTTGTAATGAGATGTCAGTCTATAAAGTGTTATACAAATTTACACACATTTATATACTTCTTCATTTGTAAATATGTATATGTACCACAACAATTACCATCTCGTTTTTACTCTCTTGCTTTATTAAATATCCCATTCAAAGTTTTTGTTTTATAAGTTCAATGAGTGCAAAAAAAGTATCCTGATCCTACCAGACATCCAAGGCTGTCTTTGTAGCTCTGCAGTGTTAGCTCAAATAATGTGATCAAAAAGTGAGTAATTTAAAGTAAAAAGTGTGAACACTTGCACTTATGTTACTAAGAAGCTAAGAGAAATAAGTCTTCTGTAATCCTTACAAACGTCCTTTCCTAGGGTGAAAATGTGTTTTATATAAAGATACTCCTTAAATAAAAAAGAAAATTACACATTTTACAAAAAGTTCACAAAAAGATTTCCACATACACAAAACACAAGGTTTGTTAAGGGCTTTTTGGGTCACTTTTATTATTTGCCAGAAGGCTGTAACACAGACAGGACTTCACCTCCACTGACAGCCTCCTGGCTAAGAAACTTCTCTACTCCTACAGCCAGACAAGCTTTTTCTAGCCCCAACCACTTTTTTTGTCTGACCATTTCATTCTATCAGCACTATCTTCCCTGTCTGTTCACACCACATATGGGCATGCTCACAAAGTGTCTCTTTCCATCTATCTCCGCAAAACCTCCCCCAGCTGCAGGTAGGTCCTGCCTCTCTATGGAACAAACACAACTATGCCTAACTGTTCTAGCTTATCAGGCACCCTCTCCTTGCCAAATGTTTTATATATATATATATTATATATATATATATATACGTATACCCTCACTGGCCACTTTATTAGGTACACCTGTTCAATTGCTTGGTAACATAAATTACTAATCAGCCAGATCAGCCAATCACATGACAGCATGTAGATGTGATGAAGACAACTTGCTGCAGTTCAAACTGAGCATCAAATAAATAAATAGGTGCAGCGCTACAAACGTAATAAATAGTATTGTTCATGAGTTTGCCAGTAAAGTGATAGTCAATTTAGATCTAGGTGTAAATAAGCTGTGGATTCCGCAAATAGTGCTCCAAAACGTGTGGTAAAATTACACACTCACCAGATGCGTAAAGTAAATACGCATTAAGTATCACTGCAGGGGTCTCGCCTAGGAGTTGGGTAGGGTCCTAGTCATGGTCAAACCTCCTTCTGGGTATGGTGGTGCTTGTCAGTAGTTCACAGGTAGGGATAAGGTCCAGCTGGCCAGAGATCCCTTTAAGGGCTGGACAGGTGTAGAAGCCTGCTTTAAGGAACTCTGCTATATTTGGAGATTTTATTCTGCTGCTCACTCTGCTGTATTTTTAGAGCTTTGGAATTGATAAGATTCTGGATAATTACTGGATGGTTAGTCCATTGCATTTTCTCTGCTGCTCACACTGCTGTATTTGGATCATTTATTTTGCTGTTCACTCTTCTGTATTATGGAGCTTTGAAATCGCTAAGATCATGTTTTTAACTAATAAATTAAATATTCCACCTACTACACTATGAGCATTTTCT